TCTGGGCACCTTCCACCACCTTCTCGGGGAGGGGAGGGTGGAGGGGAAGTGTTCTTTGCATTTCTTGCAAGATGGTGAGGTTTCTTCCCTGGGCTCCGCCTCGTTCCAGCCCTCCCTGTCAGAGTGGCTGTTAGCCAGCCCTCAGAGAAGACTGGAATTAGTGCCCGGGTTTACCACCCACAAGCCCGTTTCGGGTCGTTTTTCACTTTGCTAGTCTTTCACATCCATTCAGTTCTGTAGTATCACCTCCGTGTTTTGATTCGTGTCATCCTCTGATGACAAGGAAAAGTCTCTGTTCACAGGCACTTACTGGGTGCTATCCTTTGGGGCCCTACAAAAGTCGTCCTTAATAGCCTTCGAAAGAGCCCGGGGGAGTAGGAGGTGATCTCCCTGTTTTACGTGAGCATCTGAAACCCAGAAGGGTGGAGGCATTACTCCAAAGCCACAGGGCGTGTAAGAAGCAGAGCCAGGATTGAAATTCTGCTGCGTGTGACCAAGAGTGAAATCCTTTCTTCTTTCTACCATCCCACACCCCTCTCCACTATTACCTGCGGAGAGGACGCCCGCCCGGTGAGGTGGGCTCCATCTGTTCGCACTGCAGCGGCTGGTCCTGCTTATCCAGGGGGCTGCTTTGGAATGCAGAGAGGTCCTTCTTAAAGGAATGGGTTACTTTCTTTCTCCAAGAGTACCATTACTTGTGTTGATTTCTGTTGCCTGTCTTTCTCCCCAGCCCTCCCCCTCCTGCTCCCCACCCCCACACCCCTTGTAGAGCAGGAAGAACATGCTTGATCTCACAATTGAACACTTACTCCTTTTTCCTTTGAGGACCTGATCTGCATTTCTGACCTGTAGTCCAGGATCCCAGAGCAGCTGTGGGCCCACCAGGTCCCAGAGTGTGTGTCCGTGGTGGTGGTGGCGGGGGGGTGGCCTGAGGGCTTGGAAAGCACATCCTAACTCGGCCCTATCCTAGCCATGTTAACCGGTTGACTGCCCTTGGCAAGCCTCAGGGGGTGCTCCGCCGGTGACCGTGAATGCAATATGTTTATTGATCACACTGAGCAAAATCAACAAGGTTCCTGCTACCAAGGTTCTTGGACCTGGTGTTCAGTTGGGAGAGAGAGGTGCTAAGCAAACAAACAACAGAACAAGAACATTTCAGATGGTAATGAAGTCACTATGCCAGGGGTGTGCTCGAGAATGTGAAATGTCTGATTCTCTGGGGAAAAAAAAGAGCCCCAGTGTGTAGCATTTGCCAATTTTTGTGGTATAAATATCCCCACTGTGGCTGACTTCAGGTTACCAAAATGGCACCAGCTGGCTCTTAAAATTTCTAAAAACTTTAACAAGTGGCTCTTGCAAGGCTGAAAAAGCTGGCTCCAGCGTTGGGTGTGGTTCGGGAAAGACCGGAAGGTATGTGAAGACAAAATGTACCAGTGGGAGAGCATTCTAGGCAGAGGAGGGGGCTGTGCAAATGTCCTGTGGTTGGAGAGAGCTTGGTGTACTCAGGGAATAGAAGACTGACTGGTTTTGGCAGGGACCTAATGGGGGTGGCGGGAGAAATGAGCCACTGGGCTGGTGGAAGCCTCAGGGACCCTGGGACCAAGTCTGGATTTTATTTAAGGCCACGGGAAGTCTTTGGAGAGTTGTAAGCAGGGGCGTGTCTGGGTCTGATTTGCATTTTTTTTTAAACGTTATTGGGCTCTTCTGTGAAAGGCCAGCAAGAGGCCAGTGAGGGGGCAGTGGTGGTCCGTCCGGGGAGACGCAGTGGTGCTGGGGAATACGTGGAAATGGCTGGATTCAGGTAGAGCCGTAGGGGATGTGATGAGTTTCGTCTTCAGGTGTCACCTGGCTGTTTACCATGAGTACAGCTGGGCTGCAATTTCTGCTCTTCTGTCCTGGGAGGAGGAAAGAACCTGAGACAATCTGGGCTCACTATCTATCCGGCCTACTTAATACGGTGTGATAACTCTGTTTACCACCTCCTGATACATCAAGGAGAGGAGGTAGGACATCTATTTATCTTGGGTCCAAATGCAAAGCAAAACCAACAAAAACAAAATCTCAACTCGGACCTTCCCGCTTTGATTTTTGTAGGAGAACAGTCCCTCGGTCTTCACTTTGCCTGGGGGAAAAAGATAAGAGGCTCTGACTTGGATTTCCATCTTTGCCCCAGGGCGCCTCTTGGGTGTGTATCAGACATGTAAATGCTGTGGGTGTCGGCCTGGCAGGTTTTAAAAAAAGATGCCATCTGGCGCTGCTCCGCTCCCAGCCTGTCTCTGTATGGTTTTCAGAAGGGCACGAGAGAATGTCATCTCTCGGGACGGGTGTTGTCCAGTAGAACTTGATGATGGAAATGTTTTGTTCCTGTGCTGTCCACGGCAGTGGCCACTCGCCCTCTGTGGCTTCTGAGCACTTGAAATGTGGCTAGCGTGACTGAGAACCTGGATTTTCCATTTTCTTTAATTTTTGTATTGCTGGTGCTGGCCAGGAGAGTTCTAGACTCTGTGTCATCCTCCATTGCCCTGGAGTCTTTGTTTTTCTGGCAGTTGGCTGGAGATCCTAGTTCTGTAGCCCTGCAGAGAAGGGTAGGATTTAGGGAGCTGTCACCTGTCACAGCCCCTTGCGATTTGCCAAGGAAGGAACAGTGTTTCTCAGCTGGGGAGTGGCAAGACAGGACACCATCTTCAAAGTCTCAGCCTAGTCCTCTGTTTCTTTTGTTATTATATATATTAAACCAGTGTTACATCTCACAAGTGTCTAGGCATCGATTCTTCATTCATTGTGAATCAAGTGAGAGTCTTCTCTGACCACCTTCTTAACCTTGATCTCCTCCTCCATCCCTAGAAGTGACCACGGTGTGGTCACTTTGGAGTGCACCCTTTTGCATCTTTTCCTATTGCGTTTATATCTGTATCAATGGATAGACCCCAAACATCCAGCATTTAAAAAAAATAAGTTGAATCTTGCAATAGATGTTTTTCTGCAAGTTGTCTTCTCTTTCAGTAGTGAGTCTAAGATTTTTCTGGGTCAGTTCATTGATCTCTACTGTTTTTTTGTGTGTTTTTTTTTTTAAGTGCTGTAGTATTTCATAGCCTGGATGTTTCATATTACTCAGAAGCCTATGGCTATAATTAATTGTTTATTATTCCATTTGTTTTATTAAACATTTTTGTGCATGTCTCCTGAATGCACAATATTTCTTTTAGGGTACATAGTAAGAAATGGAATTACCAGGTCAGAGGGAATATGTAGTTTTAATTTTAATGGCTGCTACATAATACTCTTTAAGGGGCACCTGGCTGGCTCAGTTGGTAGAGTATGCAACTCTTGATCTTGGGATTGTGAGTTCCAGCCCTACATTGGGTATAGATTACTCAAAAATAAAATCTTTAAAAAAATATTAACAAAATATTTATGCCAGGTTATGTTCCTATGAACTGTATGAGTGTGCCTGTGTGCCCATAGTCTCTAAAACACGTGATTTTGGGACGCCTGGGTGGCTCAGTCGGTTGGGCGTCTGCCTTCGGCTCAGGTTGTGATCCCGGGGTCCTGGGATCGAGTCCCGCATCGGGCTCCCTGCTCAGCGGGAAGCCTGCTTCTCCCTCTCCCACTCCGCCTGCTTGTGTTCCCTCTCTCACTGTCTCTCTCTCTGTCTGTCAAATAAATAAATAAAATCTTTAAAAAAAATAAATAAATAAATAAAACACGTGATTTTATCAAATGCCAACATGCATGCCAATTGAACAGGTGAAAAATGGTATCCCATAGTTATGTAATTTGCATTTTCCTGTTTATAAGTCAGATTGAACATCTTTTCCATGCTAATGGTCATTTGCTTTTCTGTGAATTGCCTGTTCAAATTTCTTGCTCGTTTTTCTGTGGGATAGTTTTGTTAATTCATTCACATGTATCAGAATACCTACCATGCACCAAGCAGTATTCTAGGTGCTAGGGATGTTGTGGCAAGTAAAATAAATAGACATGCCTGCCCTCGAAGAGGTGACAGTCTAGTTGTAGGAGAAAGACCTAGGGTACCTGGGTGGTTTGGTTGGTTAAGTGTCCGACTCTTGATTTTGGCTCATGTTATGATCTCAGGGTCATGAGATCGAGCCCCATCTTGGGCTCTATGCTGGGCATGGAGCCTGCTTAAGATTCTCTCCCTCCCCCTCCCTCTACCCTTCCTCTCCCTCGCACATGCATGTATACACACACACTCTCTCTCAAGAAAGAGGGAAAGACAGACAGACAGAAAGAAAGACAGACAGAAAGAAAGACAGACAGACAGACAGACAGACCTAGGCAAAAGGAATCGAGGAAATATATAATAATATTAGATGGGATAAAAAGAAGGAAAAGGAGATAGAGAAGAAGGAAGGAGGTAGTCCTACCCACTGGGGGTAAGATTCAATTTTAAATAGGATGACCAGGAATTTTGTAGGCATTCTTTATATATTCTATGTACTAATCCTTTGCCTGTTCTATGTTGCACACATTTTCCTCCAGTCTTTAATTTTCTTTTGACTCAGATGATGGTACTTTTGCCTAGCTCTTTTTTTTTTAATTAAAAAAATATAATTTGTTAGCTGGAATACAGTCATGTAAAAAAGTGTAAGTTCCTTCTTCTGATCTTCCCAGGCAACCATTGTCAAGACTCTGGTTTGTATTTCCTGGTTATTTTCTGTCCTCACCACCATGTGACATTCTCCCCACAACCCTCCTGGCAACACTGAGCACTGGCGTTTCTGGCTATTTCCTCATAAATGCAATTCTGATCTACTACATTTTTCCTCATGGTTGTTTAATATTCCATTTTAGAGAGGATCTCTGTAGTTTATCGAAGCAGTCCTTCTACTTGGACGTCAGGGTTACTTCCAGTTCTCCATTCCTCCAGATGATGCAGCAATCCTTTGCTCTTTCTGCTGCCTGTGAGCTTCTCAGATCTTTGTGGGACTACACCCACCAACACCCTGCATACTAAATGTGCTATAATAATTTGATTTTGTTTTCTCCCCTACAGCTCCATGGCTACATGGAAAACAAGCCCCTGGGGCTTCAGATCTTCATTGGGACAGCTGATGAGCGGATCCTTAAACCCCATGCCTTCTACCAGGTGCACCGGATCACGGGCAAAACCGTCACCACCACCAGCTACGAGAAGATCGTGGGCAACACCAAAGTCCTGGAGATCCCTCTAGAGCCAAAAAATAACATGAGGGCGACGTAAGGGCTGGGGGCCAAGGGTGGTGGGTCTTTATGGGGAAACAAGTGGGGCCAAGTGGCAGGGATTTGGGACAGGGGACTCTCTCGAGTTGGCGGAAGGAACCGTGGATGGTAGTTCCCACTCTGTGATGGACCCTTCGAGATTTGTTGAAAAAATTCTTTACCTAAGTACTTTTCATGTGTGTCAGGAGGAAGAATACCTGTGTGTTTTTGGATTATGTTACTTGGGATGAGGCTAAATTTATTTACGTGGAAATGATTAAATAAGGATACAGAAAGGTCAAAACTCATAAAGCAACAGGCGTAGAGCTAAAGTTTGGGAGATGTTGCACCCATGTTTTGGAGTTAAAACAAACTCTTTATTAGAAAATAATCTCAAACTTCTGAACCACGAGAATTTTACAAAGAACTCCTGTCTACTGTTCACTCCGATTTACCAATCGCGAACATTTTCCACACTTGCTTTATTACTCCCTTCACTCTTTGTTCTTTCCTGAGCTGTTTGAGTTAGTTGCAGACACAGTGACTTTTTTTACTTTTAGATGCCTGAATGTGCACTTCCTCAGAACGTTCTTTGGTGACCACAGTACATTTATCAAATTAAAGATACTTAATGTTGTTTAAAATAAAGATCCTTAATGTAAAGTAGTAATGTTGATACATCACTCTTATCTATTGAGCAGTCTATAATCAATTTTACCAGTTACATCTTTGAGTTTTTCAGATACTTTTGAGAGTAGAAAAATTGAAATGAGAAAATCTCCCTAGAGAAGTAATTTCCACTGGGGAATTTCTCTCATGACTTTGTACGTGTTTGACCTCCCACTGGGCATCAACTCCTGGCTGAAATATTTATCAGTGGATTGCAGTCCCCCCCCCCCCGCCCCGCCATAGCTGGCAGTAGAATTATTTTGGTTAACTGAGTAAGGTGGTTTTGTGGGTGATCTTTTCTTTTCACCGAGATAGTCAGTTCTAAATGGGGTTCTCCCCCTCCTGGCAGCATTGATTGTGCCGGGATCCTGAAGCTTCGGAACGCCGACATTGAGCTGCGGAAAGGCGAGACGGACATCGGCAGGAAGAACACACGGGTGCGGCTGGTGTTCCGAGTGCACATTCCAGAGTCCAGTGGGAGGATCGTCTCCCTGCAGACTGCGTCTAACCCCATCGAGTGCTGTAAGTTGGGCTTTGGGCAGGGTCGGCTTCTGCAAAGTGTACTGTATGTGACCTTCCACCCGGGGCAAGGTGCCCGGCGAGAATACGCGGGACTCACAAGGGTCCATAGGGGGCCCAGGAGGACCCAGGGGCCCAGAGACAGAGCCCATTTAACAATTTCTCTCTGCTTCTATTTACTTGTGGAAGGTTTCGTGGTCTCACAGGAAATTAAAAAATAATACAGCTAATGAGTAGCCTACAGCTTTGTTTAGAAGATTTGAAATGTATAAATGTTTTGGTCTTAAAAAGGGTAGATGCAGTTGGAGTGGGTTTACTATACACAGTGTCCTCTTTTCCTTTTCCTTGCCTCTCCTTTCGATCAGAAGAGCATCCCAGTGGCTCTCGCCTCTGGAGCGGTGACTCTGGGGGTCACAGTGCTGAACGCTCAGCACTCAAGAGCTCATGGAGTCTTCACGGCAGTCTTTGGCAATGGCTGGTGCCGCGATGCTCGTTTTGTAGAAGAGGGGGGGTGGGGAGAGCTGAGGGGTTGCTAACTTGTACCAGCAGGCCTGAAATGTGAACAGGGAGAGATGCCCAAACAAAGATGCAGAGGAATCTTAGAATGATCTAGTGTTCAGTGGCCAAGACCTGCCATGGGGACGGACCGCCCCCCCCAAACACACCATCCACCCCAGCAGGAACTGGCTCAGTTCTCATCAGGCTTTGAAAAAAGAAGCCGCTTTGAGCTCATTCACGGGTACTTGAGGCAAGTTTTGTAGTTGGTTTTTGCTTTTAGACATGGCAAAACTTATTGTCTGCTCTGGGTTTGAGAGTTCACAAATCACTTGTCAGAGCATAAAGAAGAAAAAGGTAAACATTGTTGCTGAAACCAAAGCTATTTATATTATTTTTTAGTTTCTTCTAAGTATTTTTTATGTTGTTACAATCATGTTCTGTATTCAATTATGTTTCAGGATTCTTTTTCCTTTTTACTGGATATTTTACCATAAGTCTGTGTCACAAAAATCCGTTACCTATGGAGGCCAGGGAGGTCCCATGGAGGAGTGGAGTGGCTTGGTGGGTGGCAGTAGAGAGTGGTGGAGACCAGGGAGCAGGGCGACACATTCCCCCCTTAAAGGGACTGCCTTTATGTCACCCCAGCCAGTATTTCCATGTGGGCATGTAGGCCAGGGGTGGCCAAATCCTCTGACTTTCTAAGACAAACCAAAAATCTCCTGATTTTTAAAAAAACACAACAAATTCAAAATACTGTGTGGATCAGAGGAAATCTTCATGTGGCTTTGATTAATCAGAGGTAGTCTTAATCAGACATTAATGAGTAAAGCAAACGCATGAATATCTTATGCAGAGAGGGTTGAGGAAGACTGGCCCTCAGGATTGAAAGCCAACAAGGAGAGAGCGTGGGCCCTTGTTGGGAGAGAAGCCAGAACTTGGTCTTGGTTGGTCTTTGGAAAAAGATGAAGGGGCCCTGTGATTTCTTCCAGCCTGCGAGTCATGATGTGGATCAGGCTGAACGTGGTGGTGAGTCTGTCCTCTGATGTTAGACGAGAAAGACCCAAGAGCAGACAACAAGGGAAAGCAAGTGTTGAAAAACATCATCTCAGAAGCATTGGAATTCCCCTCCTCTACCCAGCAGACCCCACCCCTGGCCCCTGAGTGCTAGTCATGGTCGCTGCCCCCCACTCCGCTGTTGTTTTTGAACATCTCGAGATGTTTTGGGAAGGAAACTTGGGCTCTTCCTCAGTGATTTGGGGGGATTTTGAGAAGATAAGGTCTCCTCTTTCTGGCAAATGACTCACACTACAGGATGGGGCTGTGGTTTGCAGCAAGGTGGGGAACAGGAGGCCTCAGGAGAGACCACATGCCAGAGCCCCTGTTTCTCTCCATGTTTGGGTCGCTTGGGTCAATGTATCTCCTGTTGATCAGAGATTTTAAGGAATCACCACTGAACCACATCCACCTCCAGCAAGATCTTCAGGGTGTTATAAACTTGTTTGAATCTTGAACATAGGCTTTTTCTGTGTTTGGCTGACTCAACCACCTCCTTTTGACAGATAAGGAAACAGAATTTCTTGGTAAAGTGATTCACTCATTTTTACTCAGTAGGTAACAGAGCCAGAATCTCCAGCTTTCTAGTTCTGTGAAATACCTTAAGGTTTCTAGAACACCACAGTTTCTTGCAGTACCAGACCGAACCACCAATTGGTCGCTCTCTCTCTCTTACTCAGAATCCTCTGTCATTTTTATTCCCTTCTTTGTTCTATTTGCCTAGACCACTGCCTGATAGTTCTATACACATTTATTGGCTAATGGACTTACTATATGATCCCTAGGGAGATAATTCAATAAATATTTACTGACAGTCCATAGCCTGTGTGGACAGAGTATGTGTACGGTAAGTATTTATTGACTGGTTGACTTAGTATATACCCCGTGGGGAGGGTGATTTGGTAGGAAAGACACTCAGTGGGCTGGTACTTATTTGCAAGGCTGGCTTACTTACACTTTGGAGGTGCCACTTACATACCATCTTGGGCATCAAGGGTAAGTTCTCAGATTCTAGTGAAAAAAACCCAAAAACCAAAAAACAAAAAACTTGAACAAACTACCGGAGGCCACTCTTTGGAAAGTGGACTAATTTGCTAGAAACGTTGATTGCTTACATTTCTTCACAGGTCAGCATGCCAGAGGTCAAATCTCACCTTCGTGTAGACGGGCAAGCCGTGTCTTTGTCTTTCCATGCTACTTCCCCATTCCCACAAGATCCTTCAGTATTGCCAAGGAGATACTTAGTTCCCTCCCTCGATTGTCAGCAGAGCTGATTTTTGCAGCTTCCCCAGTGCTCCTGGCTCGGGGCGCCGCCCCCACCCCTTCCCACTGCTGATGACAACCCACAACCTGCCTCCCGCTTCTCCAGGCACACGGGAGAGGCCAGCAGGGCACCCTCGTCTTCCCTGATGACACACCCCACACCTGGCTCGCAGCTGCAGGGCCTTTCCTCCTCCGGAGCCCAGAGATGGGGCAGTTCTCCTTTCCTCAAGAGTCCTCCATGTTCTCAGCATCAATGCTACTTTCTTGGGGTGCTTGAACCCTTGCGTCCCTCTTGTAGCACTTTCCCAGGGCTGGCATTGACCAGGTGCCTCTGACGGGGAGGCTCGGAACGACAGACATCTGTTGTCTCACGGTTCCGGCGGCCAGAGCCCAGAATCCAGGTATCAGCCGAGTTGTTCCTTCTAGAGGCTCTGCAGGGGAATATTCCAGGCCCCTCTCCCAGCTGCGGGTGGTGGCCAAGCAGTCTTGCACGCGTCGGCTTGTGGGGGCATCACTCCAGTCTCTGCCTCCTGCTCTCGTGACCCTCTGCTCGGTCTCGTACAAGGACACTCTCATTGGGATTGGGGCCCACGCTGATCCTGCGTGATCTGCCCTCCATCCTCAGCTTATTTACACCTTCAAAGACCGTATTTCCAAATACAGTCAGGTTTGAGGTTCTGAGTGGCTGGGGAGTTTTGGCCGGGGCTCTGTTCAGCCTGGGACACCACCTCAGCTGCATTTCTTGACTTCATGTACTCTCTGCTCCTCGGTTCCCAAATCCACTGGCATCTTTCTCTGACTTCTTTCTTGGCTTTTGCCCACGCTGTCCCCTCCATCTGGAACACTGGTTCTCAAACTTGGCAGCACGTTGGAATCACTTGGGGAGTTCTTAAAAAACAGTATGATGCCCGAATCCCACCCCAGAGATGGCAAGTCTTTCGGTCGGTGGTGGGGTCTACCCATGGAAACTTTTCGGAGGTCGCCCGATGATTCTGCTATGCTTCGAAGCTTGGGACCCTCTGACCTTGCCTCCCCTACTTCTCCCATCCTCCAGTCACTGGGCTCATTCTTCCTCATCCAAGGCTGCCGTTCACATGGCCCGTCAAGGAGGACGGTTGCCCTGACCTCACAGGGTACGGGGGCCCCCGCTCTGAGCTGACAACCCAATTTACTTGTCAGTCTCTCTCACGTAAGGATGGAGACCAGAGGGTGTCAGCCAGGGCCTGGCACATAGTAACTATCTCTAGAATGTTTGTTTAAAAAAAAAAAAAATAGAGAAAACAAGCATCTCCAGGCTGCCCGACGGGAGAGAAAGGCAGTGAAGAGACAGAGTGGGGCTGTCCACGGGTGCAGAGGTCTTGTCCCGTGAACACCTTTCCATGGGTTTTCTCCCTGCCCCGCAAAGGGGCATCTCTGTTCATCGAGTTTCAGAAAACACCGAAAGCAGTCTTCCAGCAAGTCCTGCCCACTCCCAGCGCAGAATGGAAATTCGCTCTGCTCCTTTCGCAGGGCCTGGGCGGGTGGGTATATGATGGGGACCGGCACCTGGATTTTCTCACAAGCTCTTTTCGGTCTCTCCCTTTTTGTGACATAGCTGGGTTTTACTGAATT